TTGAATACTACAAGAAACTCTATGCCCAGAAATTTGAAAATGTGAAGGAAATGGATCAATATTTGGAATCACACCCTTTCCCTAGACTTAGCCAGAAAGAAACAGATATCCTGAACAGACCAATTTCAAGCATTGAGATCAAAGAAACAATAAAAATTCTCCCAACAAAAATATTTCCTCGTCTGGATGGTTTCACACCAGAATTCTATCAAACCTTCAAAGAAGAACTTATTCCAATACTGCAAAAATTATTCAAAAAAATTGAGGAGGAAAGAATCTTCTCCAACATACTCTACGAAGCAAACATCACCCTGATACCAAAACCAGGAAAAGATCCAACTAAAAAGGAGAACTTCACACCAATATCATTTATGAATATAGATGCAAAAATTCTCAACAATATCCTAGCCAATAGGTTACAGCTTACAGGTAAAAAAGTCGGTTTTCATCTCAGAGATGCAAGGCTGGTTTAATATATGCAAGTCCATAAACTTTATTCACTGTATCAACAGAAGCAAAAACAAAGACCATATGATCCTTTCAATAGATGCAGAAAAAGCATTTGATAAAATTGAGCATCCTTTTCTAATTAGAACACTGAAGACTACAGGCATAGGTGGCACATTTCTTAAACTGATTAAAGCTATCTATGACAAACCCACAACTCATATTTTACTGAATGGAGTAAAACTGAAAGCTTTTCCTCTTAGAACTGGAACCAAATAAGATCCTCTATTGCCACTACTATATTCAGCATAGTCCTGGAGGTTCTAGCCAATACAATCAGGCAAGAGAAGGAAATAAAGGACATCCAAATGGGAGCAGAGGAGGTCAAACTTTCCCTTTTTGCTGATGATATGATCTTATACTTAGAGAACCACAAAGACTCAACCACAAGACTCCTGGGAATCATCAAGAAAGACAGTAATGTCTCAGCATATAAAATCAATGTCCACAAGTCAGTAGCCTTTGTATGCACCAATAAAAGCCAAGATGAGAGGCTAATAAGGACACAACTCCCTTCACTATAGCTTCAAAGAAAATTAAATACCTAGGAATATACCTAACAAAAGAGGTAAAGGATCTCTGTAAGGAAAATTATGAAACTCTAAGAAAAGAAATAGCACAGGATATTGACAAATGGAAGAACATACCATGCTCATGACTGGGAAGAATCAACATTGTTAAAATGTCTATACTTCCCAAAGCAATCTACAGATTCAATGCCATCCCTATTAAAATACTGACATCGTACTTTCAAGACTTGCAGAAAATGATTCTTAATTTTGTATGAAACCAGAAAAATCCCCCTATGGCTAAGGCAGTTCTTAGTAATTAAAAAAAAAAAAAAAAAAGCCAGGGCATCAGCCTACCATGCTTTAGGCTGTACTACAAGGCCATAGTGGTCAAAACAGCATGGTACTGGCACAAAAATAGACATGGACATTTGGAATCAAATAGAAAACCAGGAAAGGAAACTAACATCTTCAGCCACCTAATCTTTGATAAACCAAACAAAAACATAAGACTGGGAGAAAGAATCCGTGTTCAACTAATGGTGCTTGGAGAACTGGATATCCACATGTAAAAGGCTGAAACTGGACCCGCACCTTTCTCCACTCACAAGAATTGATTCAAGATGCATAAAAGACCTAAATTTAAGGTGTAAAACAATAAAAATTCTCAAAGAAAGCATAGTAAAAACATTTGAAGATATCAGCCTGGGGAAAGACTTTATGAAGACTTCTGTGGCAAATGTAACAACAACAAAAATAAACAAATAGGACTTAATTAAACTGAAAAGTTTCTGTACAGCTAAGGAGACAAAAACCAAGCAAATAAGACAACCTACACAATGGGAAATGATATTTGCATATTTTGAATCAGACAAAAGCTTGATAACTAGGATCTGTAGAAAACTCAAATGAATCCACATGAAAAAAGTTAACAGCCCCATATATCAATGGGCAAGAGAGAGGAATAGGACCTTCTCTAAAGAAGAAGGCGAATGGCTAGTGAACATATGAAAAAATGCTCATTGTCCCTAATTATTAGAGAAATGCAAATAAAAACCACCCTGAGATATCATCTAACCCCAGCAAGAATGGCCCACATTTACACTGCTGGTGAGACTGCAACGTAATACAACATTTTTGAAAGGAAGTATGGAGAACCCTCAAAGAACTCAAGCTAGCCCTCCCATTTGATCCTGCAATCCCATTACTGGGCATCTACCCAGAAGGAAAAAAATCCTTTTACCATAAGGACACTTGCACTAGTCTTTATCACAGCTCAATTTATAATCACCAAAATGTGGAAATAGTCTAAATGCCCACCAACCCAGGAATGGATTAACAAACTGTGGTAATGTATACCATGGAATACTATTCAGCCACTAAAAATGATGGAGAATTGGCTGGCACCTGTAGCTCAGCAGCTAGGGCGCCAGCCATTGGAACTGGCGGGTTTGACTCCAGCCCAGGCCTGCCAAACAACAACTACCACCAAAAAAACCAAAAACAGCCGGGCACTTTGTTGGGCACCTGTAGTCCCAGCTACTTGAGAGGCTGAGGCAAGAGAATCACTTAAGCCCAAGAGTTTGAGGTTGCTGTCAGCTGTGATGCCATGGCTCTCTACCCAGAGTGACAGCTCTGGACAGCTCTGGTAATAAGATGGAGATTTTACATCCTTTGTATTAACCTGGGTGGAAGATGGAACACATTATTATTATTAAGATGGAAGATGGAACACATTATTAACCTGGGTGGAAGTAGAACACATTATTCCTAGTAAAGCATCACAAGAATGGAGAAGCAAGAATCCTATGTACTCAATTTTGATATGAGGACAATTAAGGACCTAGTATATGGTGGAAGGTGGGGGCAGGGGAGAACAGAGAGAGAAGGTGGGAAGGGGGTAGTGGGAGAAAGGGAGAGCAGAGAGAGGGAAGGAGGGAGGGAGTGGGGGGTCTTGGGGTGTGACACACCTTTTGGGGCAGGATACAATTATAAGAGGGACTTTACCTAACAAATGTAACCAGTATAACCTAGTTTCTGGCACAATCCTCAACAATAAAAAAAATAATAATAAATAATCAAAGCAGTAGAAATTACAGAATGTAGTATCTTGAGAGATAGAGATTCTGCCAATTTAAATACTCATCTCCTTAGTTCTTGGCAAAAAAAAAAAAAAAAGATCTAGACTATAGACATATAAAATAAGGAAATATAAAGAAAAATCTACTTTTAGATTGGTAAGTGGCAGGGATGAGGAGGAAATAAAGAAGGAAAGTCAATGGGGTAATAAAATCTAAAAGGTTTTATAATTAAATTTCTAACATGGTGATGGCTGCATGTATAGATTTTAATGAAAATAACCAAACCTTCCTCAATATACTAATATTCCTATTTGATATAAGAAAATACAGATGAAAAACAGCAGAATGTTCATACTTTTGAAACTAATTGGAAAGATTTTTCATGATCAATGAAAGCACAATTTAATTGAATGATACATATTTAGAATTTAAATATCAAATTCAATCCAAAGACAATTGATTTAATGTGATGAATCCATAATAATATCTAAAACATCAAGGCTTAATTTAAACTACAAAAAGTCTTCATTGTGCAAGAGATTCAGGTAAAAGAAACTTCTAGGTGTTTTTCTTGCCTTCAAGAAGATTTTTCTTTATTGCTTCTGAATTTCCATTATTCAGGATTTCTTGATACCCTGGTTTTTCAACATATGCTAATGCTGTCTACCTATATGCTGGGAAACCAGCAAAGGACCCTGACTTTGTTCATCTGACTTCATTGTGGAATTATGGTGCAAGATTTTAGAAAACAAGAACCTGATACAAGCCCTAAGGTCTGTGAGGAACTGGTCAATTTTATTGTTCTGAAGCTAGTAAGTGGTAAAAACAGACTGCACATGAAGTTAGCCTCTTGGATTCACTTTGTGCTGTGATTAATTTAAAAATACATGTGATATGGGATGTAACCATTATCCTAAGTGAAGTATCTCAAGAATGGAAAAACAAACACCACATGTACTCTAATGGAACTAACCAATGGGAACACATGGGCACAGAAGGAAATAAAAGTTGTTGGATATCAAGCAGCAGGGAGGGGAAAGAAGGGAAAGGGGCAAAAACCTACCTAACGGTTATAGCATTACAACCTGACTCAAGCATTACAAAAGCTACCCTTGCAGCAAAAACACCTGCACCCACTTAATATTCTGAAATAAAAAATAAAATTAAAAAAATAATAAATACATGTGATTTGGGAGGCTGAGGTGGGAAAAATCACTTAAAGCCAGGAGTTCAAAACCAGCCTGAGCAACACAGGGAGACCCCCATCTCCACAAAAAAACTAAATTATTAGCTAGGTGCAGTGGCATGTGCCTGTAGTCCCAACTACTTGGATGTTAAGGTGGGAGGAGGGTTTGAGCCCAGGAGTTCTTACTGTGCCACTGTAACAACCTTGCCCAGGTGACAAAGCAAGACCTTGTCTCTAAATAAATATGTACATACATTTAAAAAAATACATGTAAGAATATTTATGATTTGTTTCTTCTCATTAAAATCCAAGGGACAAACTAAGCACATTCAAAATCTGAGGGACATTTTTCCCTTTCCTGGCTTCTGTAGCTGTACAGAGAATGGATTAGAAAGACATTTAAGCTTATTAGATAGAAAGGTGTCATACCCACACGTCAAGGTACATGAGGAAAAAAGTTCTCAAGAATTATAAATTCTCAGAAAACACAAAAGATTCTTTGGGCCTTGGCAAGGAAAATGTCAACAAGTCAAAGGATGCTAGATAGCTATTGACCAGTTTCATGAAGGCAAAGCTGAAAGCCAAGATGGAATAATGCTTTCCCACTATGTGTCTAAGGCTACAAATGACACTAATCCTTTTTAATGGTCACAAAAGCTGACAACTTACTCAGCCTTAGAACTGAAGGCACAAAAATCATCTCTGGAAATGACTCACCATAAACAGGTCACGAGCACCAATGTCAATAGCTAAGAGAAATGCCTTTTCAAATCTTTGGTACCTATAAGGAAGAAAAGAAATGTATGTTAGTTATGAATAAAATTACATAAGAGGAGCTTGTTGTTTAATGTATTTATGTAATACTGTTTTTATTACGCTGATGGGAAAAATATTTTTAAACAAGGGATTTGACCTGCTAGGATCTCCCATATAGGAAATGTATTGTACTTAGTAGCTGAGGTACAGAGCCTGTGGAGGCCAAATAAGCATAACCCTAAGCTCAGAATATGTTTTTTCTAAAACATAATTTTAGTGTGTTTTAGAAAAGTATAAGAATATGTAGAACATAATAGGAAAAGAAAATTGATAAATCATAGTTATACATTATACTTTTTTGTTTCTTAGGTAAAATTTGAGAAGTCAAATGCTATATTATTAGAAAAGTTTCATATTTGTGAATTTTGAAAAAAATACATTCCAGGATGTTGTAAAATGACAATATAAATGGCTGTTAAATTTCTATAAAAACATTACTTTTCTACTCATTTTTATAATCATATTCTTTCTCTGAAGTATTATTTTGACAATTTTTGTGGAAAGTTTAATTTTAGACTAAGACACATGAAAACACTGACAACTTAAACTAATTACCTTTATAGAAAGTTTAAGATCATAGGGGAATATCATGTCATGAAGATATACTTGGCACAAGTTTTGGAATGAAAGATCATCTTTTAATCTAAATCCTAATGTTAGATCTGTCAGTGTTTCTCTCTATAAATAAGCAAATAAATAACAAAGTCACTTCCATTCTCGATCTTATGTTGTAAACTATGGTGGCAGAGATACAATGAGATTTCAAATATAAATATGTATGGAATATTAATTATTATAACAGATCATATATATTAGTGAAATAGCTGAAATAAGTAAAATCCCAACAGATAAGGCTTGTTAATATTATATATGAGCTTCTAGGCCTAGAACTTGAAACACTTGCACAATTTCCATGTTATGTTTGATGACTATTACCTCTGTCTCCTCCTTGTTCCTTTTTATAGTGTTTCCAGTATTTGTTTGAATTCCTCTCAGTTATAGAAATTGTAAGGCAATCATGTTTATTCTGTGAGTGAAGAGTGTCTTTATACCAGGAAGCCTACTGATTCATTATACATTCAGTGGAGGTGGGATACACTGAGGAAGAGGTCAGATGATGAGCAAGTTGTACTACCTGTTCATGGATTTTCTGCAATTTTGTGTTTGTCCCCACCCCCTCATAACTATTCTGGCAATAGTAAACATCTCTCTTATAATAATGAATCCTAAGGATAAGATCTCATCTTGTGTGTCCTTTTGACTATATCTAATCCTATAAACTACCCCTCCTTGAAACCTTCTCCTTCCTTCGTTATTTGTTTTCCTAATTCTTAGATTGTATCTTCTTAGTCTTCTTTGCTAATTTATTTATTTTTATTTTTCTCTGCCTCCCTATGAAATTGGTATTCTATGGGATACCAGGATACCTGGTATTATTTCTACTTATTCTCTCCAATCTCCTCAGTAACCTTACCACTCCTGTGGCATTGATAATCAATTATATCAATGACTCACAAAACTATATCTCTAGGATCCATCTCTCTATGAAGCTCCAAATTCTTATTTCCAGGTACCCCAAAGTTAACATGTCTAACATGTCCATATAGGACAACCATATAGGACCAACTGAAATCAGAGTCAAATTAAAGGGGATATGTTGGGCTGTGCTCTTCTTTCTATGTGAGGGGTAATGACAGATGATAGACAATAGGTCGTGGTAAAAATGAACGAAGGTGCATTGGCAGCTCACAGTATGGTGAACCAGGAAGAGTAAAAAGAGCCCTAACTAGATTGCTTATAAAATATACTTTAAAGTACATTATAGGACTCTAAAATAACCAACAGTACCATATCCTCAAAAAATCTCTTGATAGAAATCAGAATAAGGATGACTAAGGAGACAACAAATAAGGAGGATAGCGGGAGAAAGCATAACTACTTAGAGGGCCATCATCCTCAGGAGATTAATCCCTGAATCAGTCTCAAGGTAAAGGTGCTAAACTCAAGACTTAAGCTTAATACAGCAGCTAACCCTAAGACTTTGTGAGTAAACCAAGAACTAAAAAAAGACCAGGCTAGTAGTGCGCCTCTGGCAAAAACAATAAAAAGAGTTGATGTATGGATTAAAATACTTCTGATAGAAGCCCTCAAGAATTACAATAAATTAAGATCAAACAAGAAAGAGTTCACAATCAAAGATCATCAAAAAACATGAGAAAACAAGCTACTATAACTAAAAAATCAGAAGAATAAATTTAAATCTCCATAGATTTCATACAATCCAGTTATTAAGGTTAGAATATAAACTAATTCAGTATAAAATATTTAAAGAAATAAATCATGAAAATAGGCATGTAATATGATACAATAAAAAATTACCAAGTCAATTTTTTAAAGAATAAAGTAGAGCTTTTGGAAACAAAAGTTTTAATTACTAACGTTAAATAACTTGACACTATTGAAGGGAGAATCAGTAAACTAAAAGCAGATAAGTGATGTATAAATGAGGAATTACATAGAATATTGCACAGAGAAAAATGAGATTAAAAATATAAAAGAGGTTGAACAATACAGAGAATAACAGAAAGTTTCACATGTCAATTCAGGGAATTACATTAATGGGTGGGAAATTCCAGCACTGATAAATTATATGAATCAATAGATACAAGAGAAATTATCAAACAGAGTAAATAAAAAGGAATTTATAACTATGCACATTTGTAATGTAATGCAAAATTCAACAAGAAGAAAAGATCTTAAAAACCACCAGAGACTAACACCAGAGAATGGGAGGTAGGAAGCAGTGAGAAAGTATCTTCAAATTATGGAGGGAAAAAAAGCATCAACCCTTATGATGAAACAATGGCACTTTCAACAATAAGAACAAAATATATACCTTTCAGATACAAAAAAAACTGAGAATTTTCAACAGACCTTCAATAAAAGAATTTCTAGGGACCATATCTAAGGAAAAAGGGAAAATGACTCTAGAGAGCAGATCTGAGAACCAAGAAGGATTTTTTTTTTTTAAGAGAAAAGGATTTGGTAAGTATACTGACAGATAAATACATACAGGTACGTAATGTTCAAAATTTTTTAAAGTTAGGAAATACAAATTAGTAATATTATTTATGTCAGCAGGGAGCAAAAATACTAAGGTTTTTTGTTGTTGTTGTTGTACTAGTCAAGATATTAAATGTTTGGATATAGTTAAGTTTCACTGGTAACTACTAAAAGGATGTGTAAATTGCAAAAACAGAAGTAGAGCAGGGTGAGGGTAGGGAAACTTAATGGGAAAAAAACTCTTGGCAGTATTTGAAGAGACAAGAAAGGAAACAAAGGAAGCAAAAGAAAACAGAACAAATAGCACAAAGATAGAACTAACCCAGTATAAAAATGATCATATAAATGGACTAAGCTTATCAGTTTAAAGACTGATCATCAGACTAGTAAAGTAAAATGCAGCTATCTATATTTTACTAAAATCTAAAACATAAAGACACAAAGTTAAAAGTAAAATATTGCAAGAAAATATATCAAAATACATAGTAGTAAAAATAACCTGAGGATATTTTTGAGAATGTAATATGTAGCCCCATCGGGAAAAAGTCTGGCAGTTTTTGTCAAATCTTAAAGATACATTTGCCATATATATAATTCCACTCAATTCCACAGAAATTCCCAGATATGTAGCTAAGAGAGATGAGAATATTCTCACAGAGTAACTTATACATGCATATTTTTAGTGGCATTCTTCAGAATAGTTTAAAAGAAGAAACAATCCAACTGTTGAATGGTTGAACAAAATATGTTCTGTTTATATGAAATGTCCGTAAAAGACAAATATATCAAGACAGAAAATAGATTAGTGGTTGGCTATGATAGAGAACAGAGATCTGCAAATGGGTATGAGTGATTATCTTGGGTGATAAAAATGTCCTAAAACTGCAAATTTACATTAATGAATTTCATAGTATTTAAATTAATCGTTAATAAGGTGGGTGCCCTGGCTCACACCTATAATCCTAGCACTGTGTGAGGCCAAGGCAGGTGGACTGCCTGAGCTCAGGAGTTCAAGATCAGCCTGAGCAAGACAGAGACCCGTCTCTACTAAAAATAGAAAAACTAGCCTGAGGTTGCAGGCACCTGTAGTCCTAGCTACTTGGGAGGCTGAGGCAAGAGGATTACTTAAGCCCAGAGTTTGAAGTTGTTGTGAACTATGATGACCACTCCACAGCACTCAGGGTGAAAGAATCCCAAAAATGGGCAATGGCTCCTGAGCTCCCACCTTTAATTATAAAAAAAAAAAAAAAACCTAACAGATACAGTGTAGAAGTATATGGGTATATGGCATATTTCCTGCATGAAGGATTCAACTACAACTGGAACTTTTTCTAACAAATGCCAAAAATATAGCCTGATCATATGAACCCTTATATTGATCTGAAATTTAAAAAATCATATATATATTAAAAAACTTATAGGAAAAGAAAGGATAAGAAAAAAATGATAAGTTTCAAGTCTCCAGGAAAATATAAAAATTATTAATGTGGATGTGATTGAATAAAATCACCTCAAAGATGTATACAGCAAAACATTAATAGAATTAAAACAAATGACAAGCCCATCATTATAGTATAAAGTTTCAAAAGCTATCCCTAAATTTTTGCAAGGTCAAGTAGTCAAAAAATTAGGAAAGAAGCAAAAGTTTAATAACACAATTACAAAGATAAATTTAGTGGATATATAGACCTTGTCAACCTTGAATTAGAGAATATATATTCTTCTGAAGCATACATGGGAAATCTATACAAAAAATTATACAGTAAGGTAAAAAAAGCACATTTCACATTTTTAAAAATAGCATAATGAATCAGTCAATAATGCAATTAAGTTTGACAAAAAGATAAGCAATACATACACAGGTGCTTAGAAATTATAAAAGCCATTACTCAGGAAAGAAATTATAATAGAAATTTGGCTGTGAACGGGGCGGCGGGCGTCTCAAGCTCGGGGCCTGCCGCGACGCCTGGCACTGTCCTGCAGGCTGCGGCTGGCATTTACGAGCAACTTAAGGGCGAGTGGAACTGTAAAAGCCCCAATCTTAGCAAGTGCGGGGAAGAGCTGGGGTGCCTCAAGCTAGTTCTGCTGGAGCTCAACTTCCTTCCAACCACAGGCACCAAGCTGACCAAACAGCAGCTCATTCTGGCCCATGACATACTGGAGATCCGGGCCCAGTGGAGCATCTTGCGAAAGGACATCCTCTCCTTCAAGCGCTACATGGCGCAGCTCAAATGCTACTACTTTGATTATAAGGAGCAGCTCCCTGAGTCAGCCTAAATGCACCAACTCTTGGGCCTCAATCTTCTCTTCCTGCTGTCCCAGAACCGGGTGGCTGAGTTTTACACGGAATTGGAGCAGCTGCCTGCCAAGGACATTCAGACCAATGTCTACATCAAGCACCCTGTGTCCCTTGAGCAATACCTGATGGAAGGCAGCTACAACAAGGTGTTCCTGGCCAAGGGGAACATCCCTGCTGAGAGTTACACTTTCTTCATTGACATCCTACTTGACACTATCAGGGATGAGATTGCTGGATGCATCGAGAAGGCCTATGAGAAAATCCTTTTCACTGAGGCCACCTGGATCCTCTTCTTCAACACACCCAAAAAGATGACAGACTATGCCAAGAAGCGAGGGTGGGTCCTTGGCCCCCACAACTACTACAGTTTTGCCAGCCAGCAGCAGAAACCAGAAGACACCACCATTCCCTCTACAGAACTGGCCAAACAGGTCATTGAGTATGCCCGGCAGCTGGAGATGATCATCTGAGTTCTCCAGGCACTGGGGTGGGCAGGACATGCCTTCTTTAAAACACAGTACTGGGTTTCCTCCAATAAAGGTGGATTGACATTAAAAAAAAAATTATAATAAAAATTTTAAAATACTTAGATGCAAATGCTAATAAAATACAGAAAAACTTCAGCAAAAGAGGCATCTGAAAGGGAATAATAGCCTTAAGGATTTATACTAGAAAAAATGGTTAAAAATAATGAATTAAATATCCAATTTAACCATTTAGAAAAAGAACAGTAGAATAAACAAGAAGCTAGTGAAACAACACATTTGAAATACCAAAAGGAAGAACAAAGTCACAGAATTCTATATGTAGTAAAATGTGTCTTTCTAGTATGAAGGTGAAATGATAATTTCAGAAAAAACAAAACTAAGGTAATTTATCACAAATAGAACTGCACTACATAAGAAAAATTAAAGGAAGCTCTTTAGGCTAAAATAAATGCTAGATGCAAACTCAGATCTTCAAGAAAGAATGAAAAGCAAGAGAAAGAGTAAATATCTGGGTAAATGTAAAGTACTCCACTACCTTTATTTTATGTTATGATTTTTGCTCTAAGTAGATAAATAATCATAACATTGTTATATGAGGATTGTAACATATATGGCAACTACAGCATAAAGTATGGGGTAAGATGGATAAAAGAGCAATTTAGCTTCAAGATTTCTACTTTTTACATGAATGGTACTCTAAGTGGCCTGTAGAACATTAAGGATATATAACGTAACACCTACAGCGACCACTCAAAACAATAATGTATATAGGTACTACTAAAAAAGCAAACAGGTAAATTAACAATGTGAAAAACAGAGATTTATGGGAAGATGGCTGACTGGTAGCAACCCTTGCCAGAGGCTCCTAAGCAGAGGAAAAAAACTGGACAGAATTGGACTCTATGAAGCCAAAGACGGGGAGCTGAGCCAAGAAAGAAGTTGGGCAAGCTGTAACTCCAAGGAAGAGTGTTCAAGAAAACAAATTACAAGTACAAAGCCTATTGACTAGAGGACAGGATACCCCCTCCCCCAAGCAGGGGGCCTGACACAGGCTATCTGCAAACAAGCAGGAAACAAAAGACCTCTCATTTTACCTCACTGGAGAGCCGCTAAACTCCAGGTTTCTTTCTTCAGGGAGGTCCCACTTATGAACCTAGACACCACCCCGCCAGGCATAAAATCGAACAGATATTTTCCTCCACAAGTCCAAACTCCCAGTCCACTCTTTCACCCTCGCATGGCGGCCTGGAGCTCTGCCCCCTGTAGAGTACAGAGTGATTGCTCTTGTCCTGAGAGAACTGGGCAGTGTGGACAGCCAACTATCAGGACAGAATCTGTGACTAAGGGGGAAGAAACAGGGTGTGGGAAGAAAGGGACATTCGGCAGGAGGAGGAACAGTCCCCTAGTTATTGACTATGCCCGGCCAGCGGTAGTATTGACCCTCAGTTCGGGCTGTGTCTGGTGGGACAGGGTGCAGAACCCCCAGCTCTGACGGCACCCACAGCGAGAGAGTGGTTGCCCCTGTGGACTGAGTTTGGCAGACAGTGCTGGTCCCCAGCCCCTGCTGGACCTGCGAGCAGAGGAGTCATACGCATGGACTGTAACCTGAGAACAAGGACATGGTCCCCTGATTCGAACAGAACCCTCAAGCAGTGGCTTACTGGGGTGTGAACCAAGACCTGAGGGCTATGGGGTGCTCTACTGTCTGCAGCAGGGCTGGTGAGCAGAGGCTTACCAGGTGAGGACTGAGACCCGTGGGCAGAGTATGGTGCCCTGACTCTAATAGAGCTGCGAACAGAAGCATTCCAAGCAGTGGACTGAGACTGCTGGGGGGGGCATGGTCCCCTGACTCCAATTGGTCTGGCAAGCACAGGGTAGCTGGATGTGGACTGAGACCAGTGGGAGGGGGCGTGGTGCCTAGTTCCAGATGAGCCTCTGAGCAGAGAAGTGGACAACAGTATGGACTGAGCCTGTCAGGTGGGAGTGTGGCTCCCTAGCTCCAATTGTGCTATTGGAGACCCTTGAATCCCTCTCTGTTGGACAGGGTTTGCACTGCCTGAGACAATTTGGTTGGAACCTGTGTCTGGAGCTGTCCACTCGGGGACATTCTGAGGACGTTCTGAAGTTGACCTTCAAAGTTCTGTAACGGAAAAGAACTGAAGGGTGGGGGCTGGGTGCAACAGCAGTTTGTTATCTCTTCATAGTCAAGATTTAAACGTAATACTGTGGTTTACTAGGATAGGGTAGAGGTTGGTGTATATCAAAACAGAGCTAGCTTGCACCACCTCACCAAGTAGGTCCTCAGAGTCTCCAACTAAAACTCTGAAAGGGGCCTTTGTAAGGTTGTAGGAGCTAAGCCATACTTACAAAGCCTAGTGCCTTGGTAAGGGGCTATCTATACTACCTGGGAACCCCAATTCAATCTCACCCTACCAGTTCTAATAACCAAATGGTGGAAAATAAACATGGTGTGGACCTAACAGAAGAACTCTGGCAACATGAATAACCACAGTAGATCAACCCCTCCAAGAAATGACAAAGGAAATACAGCTGAAGATGCCATGCATAGAAAAATGGCAGCAATGTCAGAAATTGAATTCAGAATATGGATTGCAAATAAAATAAATACAATGGAAGAAAAGATAGAAATTGAATTCCAAAGAGTAGTTCTAAGGTTGTCTCAAGAAATTAATGAATTCAAAGTCCAAGTCACCAAAGATATGGACAAAATGAGAAAGAGACAGCAGAGCTCAAGGAAATGAAAAAGGTAGTTGAGGAGCTCCAAAATACAGTAGAATCCCTCAGTAATAGAGTTGACCAGTAGAAGAAAGGATCTCTGAAATGGAAGACAAAGCTTTTGAACGTTCCCAAATGCTCAGAGGCAGACAAATGGAGAGCAAAAACTGATCATTCCCTGAGAGAGCTGTGGGATCACTCCAAAAGATCAAACATTCTTCTTGTAGGAATTCCCGAAGAAAAGGATGGTCCTAAAGGTACAGATGCTCTACTCCAAGAGATTTTGGAGGAGAATTTCCCAAGCATTGCAACAGATACAGAATTTCAGATAGCAGCTAAACTGAGTTTCATTTGTGATGGAGAAATCAAATACTTTAATGACATAGACATGTTGAAGAAATCTGCCATAACTAAACCAGCTCTCCAGGATATTCTCAGACCCATTCTCCACAACGACCAATGCGATGCTCTACCTCACAAGTAAACTCACCCAGAAATTTTTGAACAAAACCCAACTTCCACAGTGGTGAAAGGATTAAAAATGTCCACTGGATATCCAAAAATCATGACACCCAAAACACAAGCAGGATTATCAATTCTCTCAATTAATGTGAATGGTTTAAACTGTCCTCTAAAGAGGCACAAGCTGGCTGATAGGATACATAAACTCAGACCAGATATTTACTGTATACAAGAATCTCACCTTAAAGATGAAGGGATGAACTTGTATAATACAGGCAAATGGAAACCAGAAGAAAGCAGGGGTTGCAATTTTAGTAGCAGATACAATTAGGGGGATATGGGTGGGTATTTGAGGGGACCTCACCTAGTATACATGATGCAATGGTACATTTTAAAACTATTAAGAAATGAGTATAATTGTGATGAATGTGTTACTTAGTTCAATGTAAGCATTTCACATTGTGTATCAAAGCAGTACCCTGAACCCCATAAATGCATCAGTGTACAAAGTTATGCTTTAATAAAAAATAATTTAAATAAATAAAACATTCTGAAAAATATTCAAGTAATCCAAAATAAGCGGAAAATGAATGGAGAAACAAAAATTGGAATGGACGAACTGAAAACAAAAAAAAGGTAGACTGAATTCCAACCACCCCAGTAATTACAATAAATGTTAATGGACTAAACTCAAGTACATGCTGTTAGTAAGAAATCCATTAAAAGTATACAAACACAGATAGTTTGAAAGTACATAAATGGGAAACAATAATTATAAAAAGGCTAGAATGTCTATAATTATCAGATAAAATGGACTTCAAAACAAAGAGCTATATAAAAGGAGAGATGTTTCATAGTGATAAAAAAAGTCAATTTATCAGGAAGATACAACAGTTATGAGGGGAAATAGATGAGCAAAAAGTAACAGGATTAAAACAATTATAGTTGTTTTTAGCACTCTCCTCAGCAAATGACAGAAACAAAACAAGTCATAGATAAGTTCCATCTTCATGTAACTGATACTTATGAATTAAATATGTCTCTATTATCAGAGTATAAATTTACATGTATGTATGTGTGTATAGATATATATCCATAAAAAGCTTCCTAATGAATAACTTTCCTCATTTACATCTTATTTTTGTCCATTTGACCAGTCTTAAACTGAAGTGTTATATGAAAATTTACTACTGGTTTGCTTTTGTCTGCTTCTTCTTGCATCTATAGTAATTTCTACTCTCCCTAGATTTTTTTTTATGTTATTTGGCATACAGATATACACAACTTTTATTGCTATGAAAGGTGGCCCACAGCATTGTAGAGCAACTTTCTTTTTCTATTTAATGATCTATGACTTATTTGTTTCCTGTTACACAGTACATAACAATCCCTGATAACTTCGTATTTTTTAACATGCAACAAACTTTACTTTGCTTCTTAAAACATTGTTTTCATATTTCTTTTTGTATTTAGGAATGTTTGTATTTTTAAAAACTCAGTAAATGTATAAAGATTAATGTATTGTCTACTTTTAAAATATCACTTTATTGAGGTATACTCAATATGCAAAAAGTTGAACATATTTTAATGTATACAACTTGCTGTTTGGAGATAAGTATATACCCATGAAACCATCATCCCACTCAATGCTTTAAACACACCTCTTGCTCACAAAAATTTCCTCCTATTTTTAAATTTTTGTGATTAGGACAGTTAACATAAGATCTACTCTCTTAGCATTTTTTTTTTTTTTTTTTTTTTACAAGACAGAGTCTCACTCTATTGCCCTCAGTAGAGTGCTGTGGAGTCACAGCTTACAGCAATCTCCAACTCCTGGGCTTAGGCGATTCTCTTGCCTCAGC